AACAATTTCAGTGCCGACATTTGTACAGCAATATCTTAAATCCTTGGAATATCCCGCGTCTTTTTCTACCTTGTTTCTGTAAAACAAAGTAAGGTATGCTTTTGCGCCGAAGCGATTTTGTTGATGTTTCTTATAAACTTGTGTAGTAGAGGTTGATGACGTCATAATATGACGTCATAATATGTACTGGCTATCGCATGTCGTGGGTACCAAGAATGTTTTATAAAACAAGTCTTAACATTTTCTGTGCGTTAGGTACAGCAATTATGGAATTTGATTAGATATTTTGCATAGAAACCTCCATATGTAGCCTTAACTCACTTGCGAATGATAATTTCCATTCCTACGTAGATACGATATGTTATGTTGAGTTTGAGACACATCTGTTTCATACTTGGATATTTTACTTAAGAAAAAAACGTTAATAGTAATCCAACAAGCTACGTGATAAACGTGATGACTTTAACTTTTCTATCGTCAACTTCCCTTACTTATGCAGCAATATACCCTCATCACCTGGATACGGTGTGTAAATATTTATTTCAGTTGATTCGATACGCAAGAGCATGCTCTACGTAAAAATACTATGGTCGATACAACGATATTGTCAGCAAATACAATTTATCATTGAGACAAATGCTGACCGACGTTTTCACAGTAATTGTTAGTCCATTATTTTTACACTGAATTGACTACGGATTTTTCCGTTATTTCCCGACAAGGAGCACACGGCGGGTGTGACCAGTCACTCTTCCATGGCACTTGATCCCACCTCTGATGTTTCGGAGGTCCGTGGTCTCTCTGCTCCTAATTTTGTATTGTTTTATGGACTTTGATATTGAAGACTGTTCGTTATCTCCAAATCTTTCCTTTCTCCCTCTCTTTCATTTTGACCAATTAAACATGGTTCGTCTTATAAAATTCGTTTAAATCAGTTTCATTATCAAAACTTATACAATGTCATTAAAAAGATACTAGTATTCTTATATGTACACGGTTAGACCACCCTCCTTAATCGATAGGTATTTAGATAAAAAATCAAGTTTGTATATGTTTGTGTTACATATTTTCCTAATGATTCACGCTGATATGATAAAAAAAAAATATATGCGGTTTTCCTTGTGTCACAAACAGCTTCTCTAAGACAAGAGAGATAACTCTACATTTAATTTGGTTCAAATTTTAAACTTTGCATCGACTCAATTACTGAATGCCATCCTCCCTTTGTGTACTTATATATGTTGAATAAAGGTTAACTTCATAAAAGATATTTATAGTATTTAAAAACACGACAATACAGTGTAAAAGTTTCAGCGGGTTCAAAAATCAAATAAACAAGCTGTTAATTCAGAGAATTTGATTCCCTCGCTTAGGGAAACAGTAAACCAATCAATAGCGTCTTCTTTAGGCCACAGGAAGTTGTTATGTAAAATTTCATTGTAAAAGCTCAAAGGGTTCTTGAGATATCGCGCGGAAGCGAAAGTGTTATAACAGACAGAATTTGCGAATTCATGACCTTGACCTTTTGACCTCAAAATCAAAAGGTTTCTTCTGTAGTCCATAGGGATTTACTATTCAAACTTTCTTTGCAAAAGCTCAAAGGGTTCTCGAGAAATCGTGTGAAAACGAAAGCATTACAGACAGACAGAACGACGGACGGACGGACAGACCCAAATCAATATCCCCCACTTTTCAATACAAAACACAACAAATAATAAACAAATCTATTCATTATAATATAATTTTGTTTGTATTCTCGCCTCTCATTGGTTGATACCCCCCCCCCCCCCCCCCCCCAAAAAAAAAGAAACGCAAAATATTTTGTATATAATCTGGTTTGGTATGGGGACACACCCCTTTGACGACCAGCTTAATCATCTTATCCATGAAACCCCAATGTAATTCCCAGTCCTCGGAATCCATGGAAAATTCCAGATGTAATAAATGTATCGTTAACTTCAAACAATTACTCGATCTTACCTCATGTAAGCAAACATCATGACTGCTAGATCTATGTATTAATTATATCCTCTCCTCGCTTCCCATCACTTCCGTTACTACGGTTGTATTATGCGCGGTTTTGAACTCATACAAACATAATTTTTTATCCAAAAAGTTGTTTAATTATTTAAAAATTTAATCATAAGGATTGACTCTAAGTCTTGGCATAATTATCGAGTTTTATCTGGTTTGGGTCAGTCTATGCTTTTTTATAATCCGATTGGATAATTTGGCCAAGATTTAGAGTCATTCTTTTAATAACTTAGACTAAAATGAGATGAAATTTTACTATTCATTTTATTAAAACTATCATCCTTTAAAACAATCTATTTTCTCGGTTAGACTAAGTAAAATTAAAATTACGAGGGGGGGGGTGAAAGGAGACGGCATATTAAAATAAGTTTGATTTAATAATAAACATTATTTAAAGCTCTTCTTAAATCAATTGATCAAAAGTTACTTTCTTCTAAGAATATAGTATACCAAAAGTTGACAGAGGTGTGTGGGAGCGTAGGAATGACAACTCTTGAAAAAATATCAATATATTAATGGTAAAAGTCAATTTGTATTAACTCTACAGACAAATACATATACCATTTACGTCAATCATTAAAGTTTTACTTATTTAAAGAATTAAAATGAAAAAAAAAAACAATTCATCAAAGAATTACTTTGTAGATTCATGTTAGAACCATATTTTTCTATTCCTTTGATTCTTGCCATGTGATCCGGAGGTCTGCCATGCACTCGGCACATTTAAGTGCCAGTTGCAGGTTCTTTGGATGAGACCTTTAAATCCGAGGTCCCGTGTCATGAAGGCGTTTGGCACGATAAAGATCCCTCACTGCTCAAAATCCCTGAGTGCCGGGTAAGGGTAAGTATTTAAAGACCTTCAGCGGTATATGGTGACGTCTCTACATGAGTGAACAATTCTCGAATGCGACGTAGAAGAATATGCATTCTTTGAAAATATTGCAGAAGGCAAAAGATGGGGAGTATTTCTTTAGAAAAGAAACAATGGTGGATATAGTGGTATTGTACTGTAGAATATGCACATCAGGTGATGCTAATTATGTCACATGAATATCGTTAATAGTGTGACACCAGTCTAATCTGACATGTATTCCAAGACAAACTTTGTTTTTAGCTCACCTGAGCCGAAGGCTCAAGTGAGCTTTTCTGATCAAAATTTGTCCGTTGTCTGTTGTCGTCGTTATAGTCGCAAACTTTTCACATTTTCATCTTCTTCTCAAGAACCACTGGGCCAATTTCAACCAAACTTGGCACAAAGTATCCTTGGGTGAAGGGGATTCAAGTTTGTTCAAATGAAGGGCCACACCCTTTTCCAAGGGGAGATAATCATGAATTAGAGAAAAATTATTGGCATTTTAAAAAAATCTTCTTCTCAAGAACCACTGGGCCAGGAAAGATGAAACTCATGTGGAATCATCCTCAGGTAGTGTAAATTCAAGTTTGTTCAAGTCATGACCCCCGGGGGTAGGGCGGGGCCAAAATGGCCGATCAAAGTTTTACATAGGAATATATAGGAAATATCTTTAAAAATCTTCTTCTCAAGAACCACTGGGCCAGGAAAGATGAAACTCATGTGGAATCATCCTCAGGTAGTGTAGATTCAAGTTTGTTCAAGTCATGACCCCCGGGGGTAGGGCGGGGCCAAAATGGCCGAACAAAGTTTTACATAGGAATATATAGGAAAAATCTTTAAAAATCTTCTTCTCAAGAACCACTGGGCCAGGAAAGATGAAACTCATGTGGAATCATCCTCAGGTAGTGTAGATTCAAATTTGTTCAAGTCATGACCCCCGGGGGTAGGGCGGGGCCAAAATGGCCGATCAAAGTTTTACATAGGAATATATAGAAAAATCTTTAAAAATCTTCTTCTCAAGAACCACTGGGCCAGGAAAGATGAAACTCATGTGGAATCATCCTCAGGTAGTGTAGATTCAAATTTGTTCAAGTCATGACCCCCGGGGGTAGGGCGGGGCCAAAATGGCCGATCAAATTTTTACATAGGAATATATAGAAAAAATCTTTAAAAATCTTCTTCTCAAGAACCACTGGGCCAGGAAAGATGAAACTCATGTGGAATCATCCTCAGGTAATGTAGATTTGAATTTGTTCAAGTCATGACCCCCCGGGGTAGGGCGTGGCCAAAATGGCCGACCAAAGTTTTACATAATATATAGGTAAACCTTTTTAAATCTTCTTTTCAAGTACTTCAAAGCCAGGATTCCTTATATTTGTATGGAATCATACTCAGATAATGTAGATTCTAGTTCGTTCAAATTATGATCCCCTTGGGGGTTAAAATTCAAGCCCCCCCCCCAACTTAAGTTAACTTTCAGTTCTGATCTGATATGTGTTTTTTCCTAGCTGATGTGCTCAGGTGAGCGTTGTGGCCCCTGGGCCTCTTGTTTTATAAAGATGGTGTCAAATTGCATAGTTTAAAGAACATGAAGATTAAGAGAAATGAAAATGAAAATAAATATCGGAATTCAAAGGGGACGGATTGTACATTTATCAGATAGACAGTTTCAACTATAAAATGTTTTACAATAGATCATTCATTTTCCCTATTTTCCGTACAAAAACATTCATGATTGTTGATTTATTGTATATTGTTAAACGTGAAAACCACGTGACTTATGGCCGGGTAGTCATGAATTTCTGAGCTCCGACGTTTTTGACCTTAAGTGTGTTCTTCTGGATCGGGGATTAAAGATATGTGTGGCCAGACCTATAGAGCAATGAATACCATTTCTTGAAGAAAAAATCTGAAGTTTTTGGCAAGTTTTTATTGATTTATTTGTGTTTTCTTTTTGCCCCCTTTTGAACAATAGAATTATGAGTTCCAGTCGTGAGCAGATGTCAGTGCAAAAAAGGAACAGTGGACACGGTCAGCCTATTTCGAACTCCAGCACTAGCGGTATATCGTTTGTTCCTCAATTCATGCCGCCGTTCCTGAGTTACTCGGTGCAATGCAGACCCTACCGAACTTGCAGATAAGCCTGGGGGAAATAACTGAATCTTTGAAGGCAATTAAAGGCTTAACACAAGACATAAGTAACATAAGGAAAGATCTATGGGAGGAAGATGGATTTGATTTTCGCATATCTCATGTTGCTCAACAACAGGAGGAGAACATCGACAATATTCAGATGCTTCAGGAGGAAAACAAAATGTTGAGAGATGATGTCAACATGTTAAAATCAGTTGTCATTAATTTAGACAGAACAGTCAGAAAACAGCAATCTGAAATTACAGATTTAAAGTCACGGTCAATGAATCAGAATATTCTTATTCACAATCTACCAGAAGAAGAAAATGAGGAAAATTTATTTGAGAAAATTCCACATCTCATAAAGCAGCATTTTGGAGTGGACACTTCCTTCTCAAACATTCATAGAAATGGGCCAAAAACTTCAGGGAAAAATCGAATTATCACTGGCAGACTTTCAAAATTCAGTGATAAAGAAAAAATTCTCCAAGCGCAAAGAGAATTGAACAAAAGAGAGCGTGAAGCGTCTGACCAGCCGGATCAAACCGCAGAACCACAGTCATCCGAAAGAACCTTTTACGTCACGCCACAGAGACCAATAGGCAGTTGCGGAAAACCGAAAGAAACTTCAGGAAATAAATGATCAGTACTGGAAGGAGAAAGTGAAGACACGATTCGTAGGAGAGAAGCTAGTATTTCCAAATGGAAATGTGTACAGAGACAAAGTATTGAAATCAAAGCCAGAAAATATTCTGGATATGACCAAAGCAGATAAGGAAAAGCTTCAGCAGATTCCTATGTCTACCATCGATTGCTCAGATGAAGGAAACACATTTAAAGCAGCCGCAGCAACAACAGATACATACAACCAGGTTAGAAACTTTTACAAAAAAGTTGTTATAGACCCATCATACGCAACGGCAGAACACAATATTTTAGTTTACCGTTTTAAGGATGGTAACGGCGGAATCCACGAGGGTCACAACGATGACGGCGAGTTCGGTGCAGGTAGGCGGCTTATTAAAGTTCTTCGATCGATGAATGTTACAAACATGACATGCGTGATCTCCAGATTCTATGGGAAACATTTGGGCTTTCGCAGGTTTCAAATTATGGAAAACTTGATGGCAGACATTGTTCTTGCACATAGTGGCTAATTATGTGCTCAGGTCAGGTAATCAGGTTATTAGAACTGTCGTGCTCAATGTAATGAAGTGTATTAAATTAATAGTTAACCATGGTTAACATGGTTACATTTGTAATATATTGTATTTATTTCCTTCTTTTCCAAATACTTGGTTGTATAGTAAAATGTGTAACTGTGTTGTTTTTTTTTTCATCAATGATTATATTATTATTTATACTTATGTATTTAAAATTAATGTTTAAATTGACAATTGAGTAAATTTTCACTCCCGTTTCTAATATCAAATAATACGGAATTTTCAGATCCGTTGTGTTTTGAGTCTAAAATTTGTCACCGCTTTTCCTTTCCGGTATTGAACCCGATTCGAGATGACAATCACATTTTAGGTTAAAACCTAAGGTACTCTGAATAAAATGAACTACCCTTTTTTGTATATACCCTGTATGTTTTTTCTTTTGTGGTTTTGTTATGAACCTGGCTCTATGTTAAAAAGGATTTTTTTTGTTTACTTGCAACTGCAATGGTATAGACAATGTTTATTGCATTCAGATTTTTTTATGGTGAGCTTGTGTTGGTGTACTACAACAAAATCGAAATAGATTATGTCTTTTAATATATCTATCATATCCCTGAATGTAAGGGGATTACGTTTACTTAGTAAAAGAAGATGCTTGTTTACATGGTTTAAAGAAAAATTTCCTGATCATTTTATTTATTTACAAGAAACACATTCTACTGAGCTAGATCAACAAATATGGAAAACTGAATGGGAATCTGATATAATTTTTTGTCATGGAGAATCAAATAATAAAGGAGTAGCAATTTTATTTCCACATAATATAGATTATAAAATAATTGAAAAAACAAGTGACAATATTGGCAGATTTTTAAAAGTATCCATTTTAAGAGCAATTCTCTGTAATCACCAAAGTAATTCTGAAAGGGTCTGGCACGCATAGTCTCAGAATTTCTTCAAACTTGGCATATAGTATCTTCCTAGGGTAAAACCTATATGTATGGTATAATTTTTTTCTGGACATCCTCCGTTTCCATGGTAACCGGGATACAAAATTTCTGACATATAGGGCTAATTTGTGTATGGCAATTTTGCTAAAAATCACACTTTTTACACCATCTGTGCTGAACCCATATTTAAGATTAGAACTCTGTTGCTAATTTCTTATAAAACTACAACATCAACACTTTCAATGGACATCTTTAATATGTTTAATAATTATTTGAAAATTTTGTAATACTTTGTCAAACAATGGCAAAATATCAACTTTTCGAAATTTGGTCAAAACTGAAAAATTACAACATTTTGGGAAGAAAAATAAAAAATTAGCAGAACTTTCACAATGTATCACCTATTTCATCTGAAGGTACTTGTCACAAATAATGAAAATATTCAAAAACATTCATGGGCAAATAACAACAAATGTTGACTATAACAAAATGAAAAATCATAAAATTGGCATTTCGCCAAAAATCAGCTTTGATGAACATTTCATACAACAAGATATATTTTTCTTTTTAAAATAAAAATTCAAGGAATTTATGCTTAAAATTTGTAAAATCAATGAGATATTGTCAGCTGAACCATAAAAAATTATTTATTTATATCTATAGGCAAGAATATGATCATAAATGTAACCCCCCCCCCCCCTCCCAATTTCGAGCACAAATACAAAAATAATAGTCCTCTATTACTGATTACTGCAGTTAACAGTTAACAGATATCATTGAGATGGTGGCCATCTCAAAGTGCCCCGCATTCAACAATGAACATGAAAATGTAAAGTAGTTTAAAAGGGTCTATTTTGAAGAGAAACATTTGTGAAATACAGTAAAAGTCATCAAGTATGACTTCACGGATATTGCGAATTTACAGATATATATTGAAGTTATCTTGTATCTCCAGTTATATAAATTTACTGGAATTAGAGGGAAAAAATTTTATTTTGCACCAAACAAAGATTTTAAACAGAGAGGCTAATACTGACCATGACCTAGAAACTTCGACCAAAGTCACTGCACATCCACTGACCAGTGGAACTCTGTGAGTGAAATAATAGACAGATTGGGCAAGGGGAGAGAAGATATGCTCCGGACAAGGAATTTTCATAAAATTCTGCTATGACCTTGACCTTTGACCTAGAAACATGGTTCAAGGTCACTGAACATCGGTTACCCAAAGGCACTCTGTGGGTGTTGTATGAGACAGATTGGGCAAAGGAGAGAAGATATGCTCCGGACAAGGAATTTACATAAAATTCTGCTATGACCTTGACCTTTGACCTAAAAACATGGTTCAAGGTCACTGCACATTGGTTACCCAAAGGCACTCTGTGGGTGTTGTATGAGCCAGATTGGGCCAAGGAGAGGGAAGATATGCTCCGGACAAGGAATTTTCATAAAATTCTGGTATGACCTTTACCTGTGACCTAGAAACATGGTTCAAGGTCACTGCACACTGGTTACCCAAAGGCACTCTGTGGGTGAAGTATGAGCCAGATTGGGCCAAGGAGATAGTAAAATATGTTCCGGACAAGGATTTTTCATATAAGTCTGCTTTGACCTTGAGCTTTGACCTAAAAACATGGTTCAAGGTCACTGCATAACTGGTTACCCAAAGGCACTCTGTGGGTGAAGTATGAGCCAGTTTGGGCCAAGGAGAGAGAAGATATGCTCCGGACAAGGATTTTTCACACAATTCTGCTATGACCTTGACCTTTGACCTAGAAACATGGTTCAAGGTCACTGCACACCGGTTACCCAAGGGCACTTTGTGGGTGAAGTATGAGCAAGATTGGGCCAAAGGGAGAGAAGATATGCTCCGGACAAGAGATCTCGGACGGACTGACGGACGGACAGACTGATCACTATAGGGCGCCAGCCGAGCGGGGCCCTAATAAGGCTACATAATAATTTCTAAATTATATGCTTTTATAATATATAAACATGAAACAAAATCCAAAACACAAAAAATTACATAGTTAGCTGCTACATATGATAGAACAAAAGGCTACAAAGTATTACAATTAAGACAAGTACTGTTAGCTTGTGAAATTTTTATTTCAACCTTTATCAAAATCATCAACTACAATGTATTTTAATTGCAAACCATATCATATGAAATTTAAAGAAGCACTAAACAATACATTTGTATCAAGAAGTGATCTGCAGACTTTCAATTAAGAAAAAAATATCATATAAAGGTATGCACATTTGAGATTATTAGTTCATTTTAAACAAGTACATGTACCTGCATTATTTCTACAAGAAAAATGTTATGAATTATTCATGAACAGATAACCCTGTCGTTGACTATTGGGAAAATTAATGTGAATATTAATCAATTACTTATTCTTTGTCTAAGATAATGCTAGTAAAAATATTTAAATGTATTACAAATTGTGAAATAAATGGTATTAAAGCAACCATTTTTTTTTTCTATCTGTCTTCTAAGGGGAGATCACTCTTACTGTACTACTCCTTCAAGTAGAGCTCATTAGTGTGCTGTAAAGAGCTTCCTCAAATAATGACCTCACTGAGTCACTTAGAAATTGGTTGAATCTTGAGGATTTCCAGTATGGAGACACACATGAATATTCTCATTTCCAATTTCATCTTCAGGAAAATCACTCTGACAAGCCAGCTACATTGCTCCTCATATGGGAAACTAAATTACTAGTAACAGACATCAAGGTACTTTCTAAGGAAAAAGTTTAATGCCATATCTCCAACTTTTAAGGCTTCACCATTGTTTGGAGATTTTATGATATTCAGCTTTGCACTTTACTTTGAACTTCATGATATTGCATCTCCACTTATATATTTAAGATGACTTTTTTCTACCTGCAGAAGTAAATACAATTTTCAATACAGTGTATCTTCAAATGAATACAAATATCAAACTGAATTAAATACATAATTAAATTAAATGCATAAATGTAAAAGCAAACCCTAAATCAAGAGGTGTTTTTCTAATGATCATTATGACAGTTGTTAAAGTTAAACATGTTTTCTTTGATACATGCATATATTATTATGACTTTAAAAATCATTTTGATCAATAAAAGAGAAATGAGCAGACCATATACTACATGTAGTACTGTGTTTTTCTGACAATTTAGATTTGACTTTTGAAACTGGTTACCTTGAAGAGAAATGCATCTATAAGCTGTCCCAATTCCTGAAATTGTCTTTTCCAAAATTAACTTCAAGGTTTCATTTGAATTCTGTTATAGCCATGATTTACATGTGTATATGTTCTTGTTCCTTTTCCTTTTCATCCTCTTTGGTGAATCCTTTGAAAACAAAAAATGAATATAATTTAATTTTTGTTAAAAATCACTAAATTCAAGATAAAAATTAATTAATTTTATAATAAAAATCCATCTATATTTTAATTATTTTTCTGTCAACATGATCAAAAGGAAAGTCATTATCCTTACAAAAATATGTACAGGTCAAGCACTATATAAAAGAGAGGTTAAGCAGATGACCGTGTACGTGTCCCTAGGGAAATCCCATATTTTTAAGTGATTTAAGTCATCAGTTTTGCATACTGGGTAATTCTACAAGTTGTACACAATGTATAGACTCGCAAGTACACGTAGGTGAGAACTTGTAGCTTCTTAAACTCAAACTACAGAATATTTATTTTTCAGCAGGTGTTTGGTATGAATTTGAGTATTTATTACGTACATCCAAAGTATCTTTTTTTTATTTCAAGTCATAGATTTATTTGATACAAATGGATTGAAAAGTGTCATGCTGAAATGATGTTTTACACATACCGGTACACGTGCAGATTGTTAAACAGAACACGATGTAAAATCACTGCTATGTTTACATGTAGAGGTAGACGTACACGGTAAAATGCTTAACCTCTCTTTATTGACAGAACTATTTACTTTTAGTTTTATATATAGGAGTATGTGTATTATATAGTATGGCTGTAATGTATAAGGATTTACTGTTATACACCGAATTTCATCATACCATGATTTTTCATCTTCTAATATTTTTATACACCTGGGATTTTTTTCTTTTCTGAAAAGGGAAACTTTCACTTAATGTTATTGTTAAGAAGATTACATTGATTGTAATGTCTCTTAGTCTTCAGAATTTTTTAATACAAATATGGAGAGACCCACCACTTGCCGTTGGAGAGATGCAAATTTTGTCCTATACTTGTCACTCACGACCATTGAGCAGTGAGGGATTTTTTTGTTCCAGTGCCTTACTGGCTACTGCCACACGGAACCTCAGTTTATATGATAGCATCCGAAGGGCTAGTCTCCACGTCCCAGAGTGGGATATGAACCTGCGATATAAGCATAAACTCCTTACTTTGCAATTCTAGAGCAGACTCTCTAAACACTGCACTGCGCAAGCGACGTATAAGTTGCTTTGAAATATAGGCCTACAGCTATCTACCTAGCCAAATCATTGTATTGGACCTGGTTTTATAAAGAGATTGTGTCTGACCTGATTCATGTCTTCATGGTCTGCCATCAACATGTATTTTTATGTAATTATGTATGAAAATGTACCGGGGAGAGTCAGGACAGAGGTCCCTTCAGGTGTCACAATTTTCATAGCAGAGGAATCTCGGGTTACATGCATGCAAGCCAATAAAATGGAGAAAAAAGTGTACATACTTAGCATTTGTAATATTTATAATTACCTCTTGTCTTCTTATGTATTATATCTTGGCCTTTTTTCCTTCTTCCACACTGCCAATCCTTTCCCCGGACCCGCTTTGATAAGTTTTCTCACCAAACTATTTATTTACCACTACAAGTGCCTACATATTGTACCTCCAAACGCTAGAGAGTAATCCAAGGGAAGTAATTTGGAAGCAAAAAATGCTTCAAAATGCAGGAAAAATGGATATTCACCTTTGAATTTCTTTTACACATAACATTTGCCCACCAATTTTTTAATTGTTTGAATATAACCAAATATCAACCTTTCATGTTTTATTATTGCTTAATTTGTAGATGGCTGCATTTTTTTGTTTTAAGTCTGTAAAAACTGATCAAAATTTACTATATTTTTGACATTTTGCAATGCATTACATGACCACTTACAAGTGTAAAATTAAAATTGAACTGTAAACATTGTTGTTTGAATCTCTAGTATTGGATAACAACAATAAACACTAATTTAGATATCTCTGTTCATTTCTAGACATGGTTTTTTCATGAAAAGTACAGATTTTCATGATTTACAAAAATGAGAAAGTTTGTATCCCGTTTCTATGGCAACCAAGTTTACAATTCAAAAACTATTTTTGGATTTTATAATCACTCACACACCTGTATCAAATTATGATATAAAAATTTAAATCTGTAACTATGAGTGCCAAAATATTTTGGTGATTACAGAGAATTGGTCTTAATAGATGATTCAAAATTTACATTAATAAATGTATATGCTCCAACAAAAGATAACTCAGCTGAACAAGTTGAATTTTTAGAATTTTTGTTGATTCATTTAGATGAAGAGAGTGATAAGAATTTGATATTAGGTGGTGACTTTAATATTACCTTAAATCCTACCATAGACAAACAGGGTGGAAGCATTGAAGGGAAATCAAGATACAGGGATAATCTAATTGGTGCTATGGAAGATCTAAATCTAATTGATATTTGGAGAGAAAAAAATCCAGACAGAAAACTCTTTACATTTTTGCGAAGAAATCCAATTATTTTGTCAAGATTAGATTTTTTCTTGATTCCAGCTTTTTTGGTACCTTTTGGAACTGCAAGTATAAAACCATCCATAAAAACAGATCATAGTGTTATAGTCATAACTTTAAAAGGGAAAATATTTGTTGATAGAGGCCCTGGTTTTTGGAAATTCAATGCATCCTTACTACAAGATGAGATATTTGTAGAGAAAATAAAAGAAACAATTGTACAGTTAAAAGAAAAATACTCTAGATTAGAAAATAAACAGTTAAAATGGGACACAATTAAATGTGAACTAAGAGGTTTTATTGTAAAGTATTCAAAACTTAAAGCACGTAGAAATCGAGAGAATGAAGAATGTTTAACTAAGAAATTAGAGGAACAAAATGTAAAAATAGCAACAGACCCAACTGAAGAAAATGTAAACATATATAATAAAATAAAAGAAGAGTTGGAAATAATAAATGACAATAAAACCAAAGGAATAATATTAAGATCTCAGGCCAAATGGTGTGAAGAAGGGGAAAAATGCACAAAATTTTTCTTATCTCTGGAAAAAAGAAATTACAGAAATAAATGTATTTCAACTTTAAATATAAATGATAATATTGTACAATGTAAAAATGAAATATTAGAAGAGGAAATGAAATTTTACAAGAAATTATATACATCTGACTTGGATTTTAATGAATACAATGAAAATCTTGGTTATTTTGTGAATAATTCTAACATTCCAAAACTTAAAGCTGAGGAATCCCTTTCATGTGAAGGACCAATCACTTATGAAGAATTCGAAAATATTTTGAAAACATTCAAACATAATAAAACACCTGGGACAGACGGGTTTCAAATGGAATTTTACGAGTATTTTTGGAAAGAGATATCAGAACTAGTTATAGATAGCATAAATGAAAGCACTAAAAAACAGGCTCTCTCTGTTGACCAAAGAAAAGGAATAATAACTTTAGTTCCAAAAAAAGATAAGGATAGAACTTTGTTAAAAAAATTGGAGACCAATATCTCTTCTAAATTTTGATTATAAAATATTATCAAAGGCATTGGCAAAGAGGATGAAAACTTATTTACCTCATTTAATAGATTCTGACCAAAATGGATATTTAGAAAATAGATTTATAGGAGAAAATATCAGAACTATCTCTGATCTTATAGACTATACTAGTATCAAGAATATCCCTGGACTAATTCTTTTAGTAGATTTTGAAAAGGCATTTGATACAGTAGAATGGTGTTTCATTGATAAAGCTTTAGAAATATTTGGTTTTGGTGAAAGTTTCAGGCATTGGGTTCAAATCCTGTATACAGATATATCTAGTTGTGTCATAAACAATGGATATGCAACATCTTTTTTCAAATTAAGTAGAGGGGTAAGACAAGGATGCCCTTTATCACCATACTTGTTCATTTTATGTGTTGAATTGCTTGCAATAGCTATAAGGGCAAATAAAAATATACGCGGCATAAAAATAGGGGAGACCGAATTTAAAATTAGCCAGTTAGCAGATGACACTACATGTTTTCTAAGTGATGAAAAATCAGGAATTGAAATATATAATGTTATTCAAAATTTTAAGCATTGTTCTGGATTGAAAATTAATTTGAATAAGACTGAAGCAATTTGGATAGGAAAGAATAAAAATTTCAAACCAGGAATCTTGCCAGTAAAATGGTCAAAAGGTGAATTTTTTACCCTTGGAATTTGGTTTAGTTCAAGTGGGGAACAAAAAGTTCTTTCTAAAAACTTAAATACAAAATTAGATGAACTAAAAGCAACTTTGAATTTATGGAAAATGAGGAACTTAACACTCATTGGCAAAATTCTAATAGTAAAAACTTTAGCAATATCTAAAATAGTATATCAAGCACAAGTACTTCCACTTCCCCCACAAATGATAAAGGAAGTGTCTAAAGAACTGAATAAGTTCATATGGAATAATGAAAAACCAAAGGTTAAAAGTTCAGTATCTTGCCAAAAAATTAATAAGGGTGGATTGAAAGTTCCTAATTTTGAAGCACAAATGAAATCATTAAAACTTGGTTGGGTTAGAAGGATATTTAGTAATACAAAAGCAAGATGGAGAAGCACAATTCAATCTTACCTGAAGGATATAGTATTAAATAATTTTATTATTAGCAGAGGTTGTTTAAATAGGCCATATGCAGAGTTAACATTACCACAATTTTACAGAGAAATTTTTGAAACATGGACACAAATAAGATGTAATGATATTGATATTGAACCAAAAATTTTTAAAGAAGCTCTTTGGTTCAATGATAACATTAAAATCAATAATGAAACTGTGTTCTGGAAAAAAATGGTACACAAAAGGAATCTTATACATTGGAGATATTTTAGGTGATAATTATGATTTCTTAAGTCATGAAGAATTAGGTAAACTGTATGACTTCAATGTATCTTTTTTTGATTACTTTTGTTTAAGGAATGCCATTCCATATCACTGGCGAAAATACATAAGACAAAACAAAAAAGTTTCAATCAATAGAGATTCCTTGATCTTAAGATTCAATGATAAAATAAGTCCATTGTCAAAAATATCTTGTAAAGATTTTTACTGGATTATAGTAGAAAGTCTAAATGAAGTACCAACATGTGTACAAAAATGGGAGAAAATATTTAACACAAACTTTTCGCCTGCAGACTTAGAAAAAATATTTATGCTACCTTTTGTATGTTCTAATGAAACATCATTACAGTCTTTTCAATATAAGCTTACTCATAGATTTTTATCACATAATAAACTACTTTTTCAAATGAATATTCAAACGTCACCACAATGTTTAATTTGTAAAAAAGAAGATACTTTAGAACACAAATTTTATTACTGTACTTGTGTTGCAACTTTTTGGAACCATTTTCTAACATGGTGGAATGATCTACATATATTCAATGTAGAAAAACTTTCTTGTCAAAATGTTATATTAGGTCTATATGAGAGAAAATGTGACTGTTTGAATTACTGCATTTTGCTTGCAAAGTTATATATACATTCAGTGTCAGTATCTAATTTGGATGTCATTAGAAAACTACCTGAGTTTCACAACTTTTTAAATCTGTTGAAAAAGAAATTACTGCTTAAAAAAGAAGTGTATTGCTCAAATAGTAATTTAGATAATTTTAATGAAATCTGGCAACCTGTATTAGATATATTATAATCAATATCTTGGAATTTATTATATTTTTTATATACTATGCTATTTAATTAAGTGTTAAAATCAAAATGTAATTTCCCCTGTAATGGATTTCTTTGTAAAAATAATGAACAGTTAATTTGTATAAAATTATGTAGATAGTAAGCTCCACATTAAAGTTTAATGATTTATAAATCAGAAACATTGTCCTATAAGTAGATAGATGTTATTGTCTATAGTTGAATTTGTTGCATGCTTTTCTATTTTATAATTTTGTATATGAAGAAAGAGCCAATAAAAAAAAAAAAAAAATATTGTTAAACGTCCCTCTCGAAAATTTTCGACTCTGGAGACCTCATCGTATGCCTGTGCTAGCACCTTCATTTGGCAGTGTTTTAAGTAAGAACAACATCTAAACATTTTACCAATTTATTACAACACAAAAACCTGATTTTGACTAGAACATTCGGTAAAGAAAAATAACATCGCTTTACAAACAGTTCAACCACACACCCTCAGAATATAATTGTTAAACACGTGTTGTCTTTATTAAGTAAACTTCATTTCACAAAAAAAAAATGAAAATATAACGTCATGATCAAGATGGATAAAAGTTATCTCTTTTTTTCTGATGACTGATTTCCATTTATTTTAAAAGGTTATCCATCTGTTGAAAATAAAGAAACAAGAATCAAATATATTTTCTGAGACATCAAAGATAACTACATATTGCTAATAAAAATTCTCATTTAACCGTTAAAAATATGTTATGAAATACAAAAAAAGTAGATATTAAATTAAAGATTTGAAATTTTTACCTAGTGACCTTTTATCATCATCACGGTCCCTCTTACATCCGCCCCACTCTCTACAGTGGGAGACCATGGACTGGACCAGACGGACCAGGGACCGTTAAGGAAGGCTCAATAACAGGCGTTAAACCACCAGCCTCCTCTACGCTTAATGTGAGCAGCACAGTGATCTTCATTCCACCCGTCGTTATCTCTGTCTGGGGTGGTGAAGAACATCCCAGACAGATCAGTGGAAGCAAACTCAGTTTCTAACATACTGTCTCCTGTAAAATTAAACAAACGGAATCACAGAGAAAAATTTATATATCTTTAATGTAATTGTCAATAATAATATATGTTTTATGGTTAATATTCATTTAGTCCAGTGCTAGAATCAACGGTGTCTATCATACTAGTTACTGCAGAATTAGAGAAAATATGTAACAAAGATAATAATTATTCATTACTAATTTATATCACATTAATCTTTATACTTGAGAACGTCTGGGATACAGACTTTAATATGATGTTTCAAAAGCGAGATAATTAAAAAAAAGATACAACTCAACAAAACTTTACATAATTCACATAGAATCCTTTCTAGTGAAACAATTAATCCCAGGCACGTCACAACTTTAAAGGCTTTTATTTGGGAGTGTAAAAACCAAGGGAAATATTAAAAACCATTAACAATAAAAGTTATATCTGTCAGACACAATGCTTTTAAAAATGTGTAAAAAAGCAAAACGAAATATATCAATTAAAATCCAATCGAGATAAGATATTGTGTACCTGTTTAGAAATATTAGATTTTCATTTAATAATTCATAGGTATTGTAAATGTTAAGCGCGTTGAATCGTTTTGAATTAGCCCTAGGTGTTTCCACTCTCACACTTTTATAGGTTCAAAGAACAAAAACTACGTTTATTTTTATTTATTATACTTTAAATTTTCCAATTATTGAAAAGAATGCATAGGTCACCATATTATTTAAGATGGGAAACATAAATGAATAGAAGCATATGTCAACACAAAAAATCACATTTTTTGTAAACAGTATTGTGAAAAATCAGTAAAAACTAGTTAAAATGCATAATTCTGATGCTGAATGTTACTACGTACTTCCTACTCAAAAGATTCTTTTGAATTGTGAATATCAAGGTAACTATTTTACAATAAAGCAAATGCCTGAATGAAGAGACCTTAGAAGGAGTTATTGCCCTTGTAAACATTTTTTGATGATTGAATAATTGATTATATATAGAAAATTTGCATTTTTTAAATTTTTTAACTTAACAATATTTATCATTACACCAGTTGTAAAGCATTCTTCCAAGAGATATTGTTCTATTAGGTATGAATTTAAACGAATTACGGTATTTGCAAAAATCTATGATATCATAGGAGGGTGGAATTACCTTAATTAAAACTTTTTTATTTAAAAATCTAACCGATGAAAAATCTTTATCAGCAAATTTTCGTAGACTTTTTTGCATTCAAGATTAATGACGCTCTGTAACTTTCATTTTCCATATTTGTTAAAAATGTGAATTAAGAATTTAATAGAGAAATGGTAAACATGTCGAGGTAATTTTTTTTTTTTAGACTTTTTTAGATTTGAATATGTTTCCAATCAAAAAAATTTCTTTGAACATCAATTTTTATGAAGATGGCGACATATTAGATAAATTACGCTTTAATAACGTCTTTTTCCATAATAGATAAAATGTGAATTATAAAAAATTGTTAGGAAACCCAAGATAAATAACAAATGTAATGTTGATGACATGTAATAACTGGATTTGTTTGTTTAAAGTAATTTATTACAAATATAATCTTAATGGTATGTAAAATTCATAGTTTGAAATTTTTGCTACTTGACAAAAATGATTTAAATGGCTGTTGAATTCGAGAATTGTACATGCAAAGGACAATGTGAAATATTAAACATGTTTAGTTAACGTGGAATCAAAAACCTATAAAGAATATTAGTAAAACAATTTCTCTTCGTTTCAACAACCTAATATGAGTGGCGCAGTGGTTAGAGCGTCTGCTCTAGAGTCGCGAACTAAGGAGTCACTTCTTACGTCGCGGGTTGGAACCCCATTGTGGGACATGGAGACCGATCCTTCGGATGAGACCGTATAAACCGAGGTCCGTTGTCGCAGTAGGTGATGGCACGAAAAAGAACCCTCACTTCTCAATGGCCCTAAGTACCGAGAAAAGGACAAAACTTGCAGCTCCCCACTGGCAAGTGGTGGAGTCTCCATATGAGTGAAAAATTCTCGAGAGGGACGTTAAACAACATACAATCAATCAATCAACAACTTAATAATCTTTCAATACAGAAATGTATATTTATGATTATATACGTAATGTGAACCCAATTTTAAGAATTTAACATGAATACACTTACCTGAGGTTCCCGTGGCAGGTCCTGAAAAAAAGAGTAGATATTTCCCTGCTTCGTCGGAGATAGAGAATCCGTCGTACATTTCATAAAGTGTTGTACCATTCTGGAGAGTGATGGAAACATAAAGGGATGATGAATTTTCTTTTGTTAATTGATGGATTACGTCATTTCCTGTATAAAGATATACTTGAGATCAGCTGAAAAGTCCATTGCAATACAATTAATTCTATTAAAAATATGAATCTACCATATAGAAAATTTAAATTATTTTCCTTAGCTGAAAACAATAATGCTCAAATTGGTATCATAAAAATATGCCGCTAAATGATTTCCTCTTTTTTCTTATTATTTGAGATATCAAATTAACACGATATGTGAATATCGTAGAACACATATTATTATCCTTTAGAATTATACAGTCTATCTGATTGTTTTAGATCAGGTCACGTGCTTGGAGATAACTCGTGATCTCTCCTTCACGCACAGGGTGACAACCGTTGTCTTCCTTTCAGATGACAATGAAAAAGCTTAAAGACCTATTTTTACCGTACGATTATTTGAGGAGAGGGAGTGGTCTAGGTAATAGTGATGTTATTTACCTGGAGACCCCCAATACCCAAGATGTCAAAAATCTGTGTACACAATGCAATACACAGGAAGTCTTTGTTTGGTAATTAGGATCAACATTATTTTTTTTTCGTTTCTAATTTTGAGTAAGACTTATTAAAATTACTTATTATTTCCATATAAAATAATATTTAAACTAAACATCAAAGCATCTAAATCTATACGTTTAAAAAAAAAAACTTCAATAAAATGATTCACCATGATTTTAAAAAGTGTGCACATTGAAAAAAAAATCCATTCATCCGTCGTGTGAACAGTTACCGCGATCGGAAGTTTTTTTTATTATTATTTTCTATTCAACTATTTTGTCAATTTTCAGAGTGTTTGTGTTAATAAAAAAATATTGTTTAAATTAATTTCTCCTTAAGATCGATCTCCGTTCATTATCTCTATGAATACATATATACGATAGAGGAAATTCGAGCAATAATAACAGTCACGTCTCTGTTAACAACATCGTATAGATTGGATCTATTATACAAAGATAACATTTTTTCGTAAACCATGTCAATAGCGCTAAATAACTTATGTAACTTATATGTTTTTTTTTCATAATTTTAATAGATGGACTTCCAATAATGCGGCGAGTTTATTAAAGTTTCTCTGGACGACCTAAATTCCTCAGATATTTCGAACGGCATATTGCTTACATTTACAAAACAGTCGCAAGGAAAACAATTATTTTATGAAATCAGTGTTTTGATTATCTACTTTTCATTATTTTTTGAAATAAAATTAAAAAATTAAACCTGACGAATAGTGGACACAGAGTGGTTTTTGTAACCCGTGTGTATCAGCTGTGTATACAAGGCGGGTACATGAAAATGTTTGATGCGTGGTAACACAATCGTCTTCAAAAAATGCAAACTGAGATTATCAGGTAGCTCAGGTAGCTGGCCTGTCAATCAAATCGGAAGCTATTGTTCTTTTTATGATTGACAGGCGGTAATTACCAAATTATAATTTAGCGATCTTGATTCAGGTAGATTCGGGGGGCATTAGCATAAAATTGGGTGTTTAAGCGAGCATGCTAAGTTACAACTGTGTTGTCGCCCTTTGAATGAAATTACAGTGGTTCTAGAGCGAGAACAACTATTTATAGTTATAAATGAAAAATTGCTAAATATGCAGGATCGGTACACAATAAATTCTAACGATGATGTCAAAGTTGTCTGTTGACGTATTTTGAAAATGAAATCCGAGCATAGTAGCGGAACACAAGAGGTTTGATATCTATTTTCAACTCAATTTGTTTGATAATTTTGATTCTTCGGGATAATAAAACTTTAATGGACTGTTTAGAAGGAGGACATCACCAATCATCAGTTCTGACTAGGGTTATCACCCTCGGGCGATCTCAGCTATGTTAAGGAGGGTCAAAGTTCACATTCCTGGTACACCGTATTGGAAGTTTAACTGTGACGTCATTGAAATTTAACAAGCCACAAGAATTAATTAACGACATGATCGTGCGTAAATAACAACTTGAATATTTTTTTTATCAATTATTTATAAAATCTTGTAAAATTGGAATACTTGATAGCAATACAGTAAAGTATTAGAAGAAAGTTCTTCGTCAAATATGACGTCATCAGCCTTGACATGATGCAGGACAGCCGATTCAGAGGACTAGATTCACTGGTTTAATAATTACAAGAATGCTCAAATAAATATGATATAATCGTTAATTTTTTTACCTAATCATTAAAACTAAAAGAAAATAATTTATTAAGTACAATTTGTATAGAATATGAATTTATCTAGTAGCGTTGGGGCTGCACAGGGACAAGGAATTTAGAGAATGTCGCTAAAACGATAAGCGTATCCGTGATTTACATCAAAAGTGCAAGGGCATAGACTATTTTGTTTCAGCTGAAATTTGAAGTATTTATTGCTTATATAGTGTTTATTTTGAAAAGTGCTGGGAGCTGATCCTGGTCTGCATAACATTATTTTTATTTCTAACAGAATTTAAGCGAAGTGGAAATTTTTAGCTGTTATAAGCATTTTTGGCAGAATTTTCAGTACTTGGCAAACAGACTAGCTCCCAGCACTTTTGGGGCAGAGGAAATAAACATCTTTTAATGTGTATAATTTTTTTTCTTGAAAAACAAGCTTATGTCATTACACTATCCTCATTTTCTTCATTCAGCTTTACAATTCTATTTTCAAACAAGTCACGTGACAAACAGCTGATACATGCGATATAACTGTTAAAAACTACGGCCCAGTCCTATCCATTATTGATAGCTATATTACATTTTCTACAAGTATTCACTAGCTTTGTTACAATTTTTTAAAAGATGTAATACATATTAAAACGGTACAAAGGTCACATTTTCCATATCGGTCCTTAACATAGCTGAGATGATTGATGATTTCTCCCTTCTAAAAGTCCATAGTCTTATATTTAGATCTTTATTATGGTTATTTTTTTTACCTGGTACGAGAATTTTTTTCTTCAAACTTTCAAGGAATAAAAAGTTACTATTTGAAGGCGACTTACACTTACCAACCCAGACATTCTGTTCAGGTGATCCAAAACCATTTTTATATTCCGTCCAGGTCCTGTTGAAGCTTACGGATCCGTCTAAGCGTTTCTGAATTGTCTTGAAAATTAATATTCATAATAATTAATTTTATTGCTCAAACAATTAAAGGCTTAATATGTTATGAAATAAACTAAAATAGTATCCTACAATCCTTAACTAAAATAGCAAAAACAATGTAAGTAATTTTATGTGCTTTTAATTCTAAGATAATCTACACACCGTCCATCCCCCGCCCATTGTGTCCATGTCACAGTACACACGGACAGGACTGGTAATGGTTCCATAGGGATATATATCATACACCCCTGTACTGGTGTGTCCGTCTTCACAAATATCGTTACAGTCTTTAGGCATGGCTGAGAAAATACAATCTAAAAAAAAATACCGGGATCAAACTATGTATATGCACAAGATGAGAGAGGACATATATAATGCCTGCATGCTATACTAAGGTTAATTATTTAGGCAATACGTAAACTACATGTACTGTCCAGTTTATGTTAAACTTTTCCTCATTATCTAAAATCATATTTGTTTTGATTTTCGTAATTGCTTCAAATCTCTGATCTATGACATGATTAAATGTATGTAAAATCAAATACAATTATTTTTCCATAATTTTGTTGTACGGAGGAAATGTTTAAGGGGAATACATTTTTAGATCAGATGCTTAAACATTTGTACAGTGAAATAGATGTTGTAAAAACTAGTATAATAATAAAATCATTATTTTTCGTATTTATGTGAAATTGAACATTTCATAAATTCCAAGGTCGATACAACGACCATGTTTTCCAACACAGCCCATCGTATCAAACTTTAACAAATTGTAAGGCCTTTATTTTCACAATGAAATGTCCTAAACCTTTCTATTTTCCGGATCAGAACAGTGGACACGCGGTGGATCTGACCGATCGCCGGATCAGAACAGTGGACACGCGGTGGATCTGACCGATCGCCGGATCAGAACAGTGGACACGCGGTGGATCTGACCGATCGCCGGATCAGAACAGTGGACACGCGGTGGATCTGACCGATCGCCGGATCAGAACAGTGGACACGCGGTGGATCTGACCGATCGACAGAGGATGGTTACTCCTTCATGGTACAGGATTCACATCTCAGATTTCAGGACAGCTGTTTTCATGATAGTAATTTCGAAATACTATACTTAAAAAGAGTTTTTTTCGATTATTTAGTTTATAAAAAGCTATAATTTTCTGATGGTTTAGAATGATGATTGTCACAAAGATTAAATGAATATTATAACTAAATACTAAGGGTGAAAAATTTATCATATTACATATTAAGACATAATCAGAATAGAGAGGATAGAGAATATCACAAATAATAATTCAATTCATCTCTAATTAATCATTAATTCAAAATTTTAAAAAATACGAGGAAAATTGGAAAGAGATAAGAATATTATTAGAATCAAATATGTTAACAATACAATTGTTAACACTACATTAAAGAGATGTCTTCTTGAGAAGGACTTCAAAAAGCAAGAAGCAAACAGAAAGAAAATAAAATAACGAATATACATATCGTCACCCGAATAATATGTCCAACCGGCCTCATAAGACATTTCAGACGTGAACATTTTTTTGTGGGTACGACATTTCTTCTTATGAGGATTGAAACCAAATAATAAGCACTCCCTTTGACACATTGCGGCGCATTCAGTCAAAGAGTTAGTATTATGTTTTCCTAGAATTTCCTGATTTGATTTCTGATCACTGAATTCCAGCTTCGCGGTATATTTCTGAGAAATAATGGTCGCGTTAGATAAAGCTAGGAAGCCTACAATTAAAGATATACATGTAACCCACTGATAGCGCATTTTTTAAAACTTTTTCAGGAAGAAAAAACTGCCGCGTTCTTGTGAATCTGTGAACTTCTGTTGAATGGTCGTTCAACAGCAAAATTTATATTTATCGTACTTTACCTGCCTGAAAAGCGATTGGCTAACTGTTACGTACTCTTTACTGTTGTTTAAGTATCGATTTAATTGAAGTTAATATTAATTGTCAGTAATGTTCATTTTAAAAGAAATGTCACAGCAAGTTTTCATACGCGATTTACATTTTCTATTTACAGTTGTACAATTGTGATGAAGAGTGAGTTTTTTAATCTCTAACATCTAAATAAATTAGAAATATAAGCAGAAATCAGAGAAGAATCCTACCTTAAAATGAGACCCAGAATGGTAAATAAATAAAATTGCACATGAATCTCGCACTCATTATTTTAACTTAAATGTATATGCAATATTCATTGGGATTGTAGAAATAATGCTTAAACTGCACATAGAAACAAAAATACTTGGTACAAACTGCAAGAAATATTCGGTACATGGAAGCATTGCTTCATTCCATGAACTTATATATTACAACAAAAATTGTATGATTAATCATTCCGATGTAACGTTTACTCCCGCCGTGTGCTTTTCCTCATAATCAAGCCAACCGAAAACAAAGACAAAAACGTAGACAAGTGTGAGAAAATGAATTGTTAGTGGACATAGGACTTTACCATAGACTCTATTTCCTGACACGGTCATCGTATCATCGTAACAATCACAAAAATTACTAAATCTTTACTTGAAGCGACATATTGATTTAATTGATTTGGCGACATATATTCTACTAGTTCGACTTGTTTTAGAAGCTGTGAAGATAAGGTCTCTCGGAAGTGGATCTTAAAGCCTTTATTAACAAGTCGGGTGTAATGTGTAAGCATTTAGTAATCAGGTGTAACGTTCGTTATGAAAGTAACAATTAAATTAAATTATGATTTTGTCTTTATGATAATTCACTAGGTCAGCAAATACGTAAGGAAAAATATCTGCAAGTGCAATTTTAAAATGAAACCGGCAAAAATTTGCCATGTTGCTAGTAAGTATAAAAGTCAACAGAGACAGTTCCAGTTGGATGCAGGAAATTATTATAAATTATTATCTGGTTTAAATATCTGGAAATTAACTTGCTTGTTGATACATACACGAGCAACTTGATTTTCGGTTACTACTACTGTATGTATAAAGTTGCCGTGCAGACTCAAAACTTGAAGAGGTGAGAATAGCAAATCAAAAAAAGCTAAGTGTAAGTTCGTTTTATGATCACAACATTTTTGATTCCAACATTTTGACAAGCTTCCAATTTTTTTTAATACATTTTTTGCTTTTAATTTCTACTAAAATTAACATGAATTGTTACTAGAAAATTAGAATCGCACAACATTAAGGGGATTGGATGTCAAATAATAACCACCTTTCCTTCTGTGTTCAGTGATCTATAAGTCAAAAGAATAAAATAGCTTACACGGTCAGATCTGCTCCCTGCCGTAGTCAAAGCAGGCAACGGCAAGTTTGTTATTCAAAATTGAGGTACTCCCGCAGATAACTACACAAATATAGCTACTTATAACGGACAGATGTTTGGAAGAACTGATCCCTAAAAGCTTTGAAGAATTTGTCAATCAGACATCTTATCATATTTTCAAAACACTTGAGAATACTTGCGTGTACAATCAAAATGTAATTTTAATCAAAATAATAGTATGACAAGCAATGGCAATGTAGGTAAATGTGCGAATTCCATTTATTTAAAAAAAATCCAATTTAAATTAATAGTGGGGAATGAAGGAAGTGTTGAAAAGTCATACACAACGATGTTATTGACGTTGCTAAAACCTATATATCAAAAGAAGGTAGGGGGGGGGGAGTAATGCGGACAAAATATCTATAGTGCGACAGACAAGAAATGGAAAATTTAATCTCAATTTTATCCAAATTTTATTTTATATTTCAACTAATAATAAAGTAAACTTAATGAAAAATCACCACTGTTTCCAAAAATTTCACGAACACTGAAACTATTTGCCTATGAAAAAGCATACACACAATAAAAAGAACAAAAACGATTATTTTCTCATACTATGACAAGGGTTTTCCAAAATGAGTGAGTCTTTGCTCCAATTTTTGAAATATAACCTTAAAAAGTTTGGAATATAATATACATTTTTTGTTTACAAAAACATGGACCAAAGATCAAGTATACCTTAAAAGTACACTTCTGTGACAAAACATTTGCATCATAACGAGAAATACTTCAAGTCTATTAAGTGAAGGGTCATACATTTATCACACACATGGTTTAAATGAAGTAATTCTCCATGAGACATGTGCATAGTGATAATCGCGTTAGTCTTAAAGCAATTTGATGTCAGAATTTTGTTGCTATGATTCGAATCCCACGAATATAATTTTGAAGTTTTATAAAAGAAACATTTTTTCGGTATTTATTTCCTCAGAAAAGGTTTTATCTTCATTATTTCATAAATTTGAATAATGAAAATTTAAATTAAATACCCAATTCACATATTAAGTATTGTTTTTTTAATATCCGACGCTATAGGTATTCTGACAGCCTTGTTCTGCCATCTTCTTTATCAAAGTTTATGTGTATATATTTGATTTTCGCCACTGCTTGAATATTTTGTTGCACATTACTCCCAAAGTGTCTACTTAATTTAAGAATAACTTCGATATCAATGTTAATATCTAACTGAAGAGTAAAGAAAGAAGATTGATATAACATGTTCTTGAACCTGCGATGTATCTGCGATTGAAAGAATTTTATATTGAATTGTAAAAATCCAGTATAGGTATAAAAATTCAATTCATTTTGACTGTTGTGGATTTTAAAAATATTTAAAATATGCTCTTCAAGAATGTTCTCCTTAAAAATGGTTGGTGATTGATTATATATTGTTTATCGCCAAAATCGGCAATATCTCAGCCATATTTCGGCAACCCTTAGCAAGGGACCTTTGGGTATAAGATCCCACTTTCTACCATCGGCTCATACATTCACCTTTGTCGTTGGCTCGCATATATCACAGTAATAAACACAAGAAATAGTGCGTTTGTTTCAACTCAAACCCTAACCCTAACCCTGACACTAACCATAAACCTAAAGTCTGAGTTTTGAGGTAGATATTTTCTAAATGAATCCAAAACTTTTATTTTAATTTGAACAAAAATTCTGCAAATATCACGTTTTATAAGTTATGTCAAAAATCTTGACGTGAGGCTATTGCAGAGGTGTCTGATTGATTGATTGTATACTGTTTAACGTCCCTCTTCAGAATATTTCACTGATATGGAGACGTCACCATTGCCGGTGAAGGGCTGCAAATTTTGGCCTAGGCTCGGCAGGGAGGGATCTTAATAGTGCCACACCTGCTGTGACACATGGCCTCAGTTTATACAGTCTCATCCGAAGGACCGCCTCTTTTAGTCGCCTTTTACGACAAGCAAGGGGGTACTGAGGACATATTCTAACCCG